GCCAATATTTCGCACTTAATATCTATAAAACTCAAAGGTGACTGACTGACATAGTGATCTATCAACGCACAGCCCAAACCACTGGACTGATCGGGCTAAAATTTGGCTTGAAGGTACATGTTATGACGTAGGCATCCGCTAAGAAAGTATTTTGATCAAATCTACCCCCAAGGGGACAAAATAGGGAATGAAAGTTTGTATGAAACTTTGTCAATTTTAAACCGAGCGGGCTGAGATTTTGCATGCAGGTATAAGAAGAATCATAGATGAATGTCATTGTGTATAATACAAGCCTGAAAACAAAAACTGTAGTCTACACTTCAGCTCTACACCGAAGCGAAGCGAGGGCAGGCCACTAGTCTAGCTATAAATTGGAATTGCAATGCTTGCAGTTTGCCAAATTCGCATCTCGTACACGGACACGGAGGTCATTGACATTTTTTCTATCGTAACATGGGAAATACGGAACACTTTTTCTGGTTTCTTCTAAATAGCACAAAGTCTCCTTGTAAATTCTATTACGGAAATTGAGATTCATTCACTCATTCCTTAAGTAGTTCTAACACCTTTCGCTCAGGCTTGAGGGGCCAACGTGATGGTAACGAGTTCAATGCGTTCCATGACTAATATAGTAGGGATGAAACGATACGAGTAAATACAAGTAACTACTCGATACTTTTCTATCGATACCAAGTACTTTTGGCATCGATACTTTAAAACTGAGTAACAAATAGTATCGTGAAGTAAGTACTTGTATCGGTACTCGGTCGGTCACTCACTGAGAAGTATCAAAAAATTCGATAGGCAGATTATTTACTATATGGTAAGGTGTCTAGTTGGAATATTTGTTTCGCGAACACATCTTTTCTACTGCTCATTTGGCAGCCTTGCGTATGATTTATATTTATTCCAATTTATTCAGTCAATCATTCGTTCATCGTGTGGGGTGAGCCGTTATTTTGTTTTCCTTAAATTAAAACTGTGTCTGAATTTGATTTTGCAATATCGTTCGTCAAAATGTATCGATACAAGTAAGTATCGATACTTTTCATTCGATACAGAGTAGGCATCGATACTTTATGACCGATACAGTATCGAGTAAAAGTATCGATACCTAGATGGTATCGTTTCATCCCTAATATCTAGCCAGCATCTCGGTGGATGTGTTACGTACAGAGTGCGGAGTAAAGCGAACGTAACAAATCATCGGGCAAGCGAGGTCCGCCTTAATTGCCCAATCTAAAGGTGAACGACCGCAGCCCAGGTGATCAGCTCGTGAATGGCCGGCCCACTAGAGCAGAGCAACCGCCTCAGATCCCCCGCTCAGATACGGACCTCACTCGAAGCCTACGACAGATCTGTACAAACCACACAATCGGACTTATCCGCAGAATCTACGATTCCCGACTTACAATACAAACAGTTTAGAGTCCAATTTTGAACAGACGAAACATCACATTCACATCTCATCTGCACGCATTCACAGTAATTTTTGGTAAAGATAATATGTAACGTGACTGCGAAATTATTAAAGTTCAGAATACATGCTACTTATCAAAGAACATAGAGCATAATACATATTCCTTTTTGTTTAAATTTAAAGAAAATATAACTAGAAACAAATTTGCGCGGACCAGGCAGCAGATGGGGCTCGAACCCGCACCCTTCGCAATCCGGGCGAATGCACCGGCCAATTATACTAGCGCGGCCCTGACGGTCGCGTCGAAATTCCTCTAGCCTTTCTTAATCTGCAAGGCAGCGCCATCTCTTCGCATTGTAGGTAACCCACAATTAAGCGGTAGCATAATTGGTCAGTGCATTCGCCCGGATTGCGAAGGGTGCGGGTTCGAGTTCCGTCTGCTGCCTGGTCCGCGTGGATGTTTTTCTAGCTATATTTTCTTTAGATTTAAACATCAAGCAGTTACATGCTTAAAGAAATAAAATTATAACCATATTCCTTTATTTTTAAATTATAAACAAAAAAAGGGATAATCTAGTGCAATAAGCCGGTGTAACGCATCCAGCCGATGTTTTTATAAGGGATCAAATGATTATAATGGTATTAACGAGTAATGCCATTATTGTCAATAAAGTGTCGGGTAAAGGCGCCGCGGTGACGTAACTCGATCGTCTATTCGATACACTACACTATCAGCGAATATAATATAAAACTGAAGACACATTAGATAATATCGAGTTCAAGCGATGCCGGCGATAAGAAGCATTAACCGATATACATCGGCACTTAAGGTATAGATAGATAGCAGCCCATTCAATATCAGATATCAATAAAAATAAATGCCTGCTCTTGCGTTATTGCGTTATAAAGATACCGCTATAGTGTACTTACCCCGTATAAAGTACGCACAAGAGCAGTAAATACCAACTTCTTAATTTTTTATTTTTTTAAATCACACCAATTAGCCCAGCCCCAAAGTAAGCACTGTAAGGCTTGTGTTATGGGATGCTAGGGTAACGGATAGAATACGTATACTGTACATATATAAGTATATTTATATAGAAATACATATTAAACATCCATGAGTGGAGTACAAATGCTCGTATTCATCACACAAACATCTGCCCCCACCGGGATTTGAACCCGGGACCTCTCGAGTCGGCGACACCATTAAACCCGGCGTAAGAACCACTCGGCCACGGAGGTCGTCATAATATAATGGAACACTTTTTATAATTAATCTGGGGATTCGCAAGAACTTAATTATATAGATGATGTTTAATTATACAAGAAATTGCCTCAATTATGAAAGCTAATTATAATAGCTCTAGTTAGGGCTTAGTGCTTTACATTATTAATTAATAACGTTTTTTGGTAGAGTTTCTTGTGCATGTTACAACAAAGATTTTTGAAATTAAATGTGGTAATTAGTTTATTTTACTGAAATAATGTTTTAGTGACGACACAATTTTGAAGAGCAATGTCTACTTTTGTTGGAATTTCTAGAGCCCGTTCATGTTATCAGCTAAAATGCCTTGAATAGCTTAAAATATTACACATAAGTTTATTATTATTCCTAAGAGCTATTAATAATAGATTGATATTTAAATACAGTTTATTTACAAAGGTCGAAAACTGCATTACTATTTGTTTCAAATTCAAAAACAATAAATTCTAAACGGCGCTTCTATTTGTGAATATTGCGTTAACAACAAGATTCCATTTTTGGTGCTACCACACACGATACACAGGAATAATACATCAGCAGGATCGCAAATGGAGCCGGTTCTCGGAGCTAGTGTAGCGGTCGATCAAGATCGGCGGCGCACTTTGATGCGAGCGCTGTGATAAGCCGCCAGTACTATTCGCCTTATCACAGCCCTTCTACCCACGTGCCTCGTAAACTCTGTCTATGTGTTTTATTTTGAAGCCCATTTTAGGAGCATTTTATTAGGAAAATAATGAAAAGTTGAAAGATGGAGAAACAAGATGATAGCAAGAAAATTAGTATTGTTTCTTGTAAGGAAATGATGATTTGACTGCATACAGAAAAAATATTGTATGATTTAATATCATAAAGATAATGATAACGTTAACCGACCCGAAATAAAATGAAGGATAGGTTAAAACAATAAGAATCTGATTCTCAAGTAGTGTTGCCAGGTCCGATTTGTTTTAAATCGGTACAAGAGGTAAAAAAATCGGGATTTTGGGTTGCAGATCGGGACAGTAAACAAAATCAAGGGGTCTTTAAGTCTGGGTTAAATTAATTGCGATTTAAACTACGAGTGCAAGTATAGTATTATATTAATTACCTATATTTCATTTTTTGATTTATCGGAACATTTAGCGTCCCGATCAGGTGCAAATCGGAACATGTCCCCAGACCCCTGAAAATCGGGACTTCCCGCGTAAATGGCAACACTATTCTCAAGTACCTCCCGCAAAACACACGCGAATCATATCTAAGATAGGTTTATTACATGTTTTTTGTTTTCATTATAAATGAAACGGCATCTTATGTCGGATCAAAATTCACGTTCGCTACTTATCAATACCCTTAGTACGAGTTTTACAATTACGAAAACTATGATAGTTTTCGTGAGCTCGCACTCTTACTAAGTGTACTGATTTTAATGTTTTCGTTTCAATACAAATAAACAGTGTTTAAATTCTACCATTAAATCATTTGCGTCTTCTTAAATTTTAAGTATATTTGGTGCCTTTTTACCAAAATGGACATAAAAACATAATTTACAATTACGAAAGCTATGATAGTTTTCGTAAGCTCTAACTCGTACTAAGGGTACAGTTGTGTCGATAATATATACAGTTGACGGTTAACGGGTGTTTAATACATATTCCAGTATTAATCTCCGCACATCCGCATTTTCATTCGCATTAAAATCTGTAATCGCACATTCCCATGGGAATATTCTTTTACACAAAAGTTATTCGCATTATTTTATTCTGTCAATTCAACATCAATAACAATCCCAATTGGTCTCTACAATGGCATCGCTAGCTCCGCAGACCCTTTCAATAACACACAAATATATTTAAATACAAAGCCAATATCAGTTTCACGAGCCATAAAGTTGAGATAACTCTAATAAATCTTTTTTTATACTATAGTATAGAGGGTGACCACGGTATGCTTAATCCCCTTCAACATAAACTATTGACTGCGGCTCAAATCAAGGGTGTAAACTAATTTTTTTGTGTGAGAAATCGATATTGTGATTTACACAATTCACTAGGGGCGTTATTTATTAAAAGTATTTTGGGTTTTAGAACTGGTTAAATATATTTTTACGAAAGTGAACATTCTATAGAAATGTAGAGCATAAAATATTCTATTTTTATGTCTAAAGTATAAACTGCTATATTTTTTATTAATTTTTAGTTCAGACTCTACATTAATTGACATATTTTTGGCTGTAAATGTCGAAAAAAAAGTGATTTAAAACTTTTCATTTATTGTGTTACCTATTAAAGTAGTTGTGAGAATGATTATGAAGAAAAGTGGATAGATCCTTACCGCGTCCTCAGCTTCCTTCTGGTCTTTGTGTCCCATGAGGTTTGGCATGGCAGTCCAGTTGTATCCCAAATCTTGGCACAGGGGTAGTTTGATCCTCTCACATTTGCCACCCTCAGTCTCCTGGTCAGCAGCCACCAGCCACGCACCAAACAGCATAAATAAAATTATCCGCACCATCGTTATAGGTCACAGCAACCAAACACTAAATATAGTATGTACTAATCATAATCCAAACAAAGCCAGTCACTAAATCACTGTTTGTAAACAACGAGGAATCGTAAACATATTAAAACTTTCTCAGAGTTTCAGTGCACGTTTAACCTCCACGAGCACTCGGAGCGGACTGATTCGAATTTCGAACGCGGCGCGGCATCTCAAAGGCAAAGGAATGGAACCGGTCGGCTGGCCGGTGCATTCAGACACATGCATATGTTCCGATAAAAGGCCTGAACGCATGAACAGGGCATTAAGAAGAAAAAGAAAAAAAGGGAAAGAGCCTAATTCGTGTATGGCTCACTGCAATCAGTGAGAGCAATTTCGTCTGTCCTTTTCAGAACGACGTAGGAGTGAAAGGGACGCGAGACACAATGAACAACGTATAAAATTAAGTGTATCTGCCCATGGGGATGGATTTTATTTTACGAAATTGCTGCAATAAAAGTGTTGGATAATGGAGAGGTTCGAAAGTTTTATTACACACTTTTAGTATTAAAATTACTGTGGAGTAAGTTTAATGATTGAATAGTCTATGCTGCTCTGTCAGTCGGACACTATATGCGAAGAAATTTTGTTTAATGAGACTTATGTGTTTACCTTGAAATTTATTTTATGGAGAGACATTTATAAGACAGTAATCTAAATATTTAATTTTAGGAAAATGATAATAACGACTCGGTCCAAAAATTTCGTATACAACAAGACATACTATAGCATTATTTAAAAATATAAATATTGTATTTTCAATACGCTTACCACGGTTACCTATATTTTTTTTATCTTTTGCCGTAATAAAAACTTTGACGAGGTAGAGTCTAAAATATTTTATTTGTTTTCTCTTTAATATACCGAGAATTTTCTTGAAGAAATTCTGTAAAATACTTAAAAAGCAATTACTTTTTCGAAGATTCTCGATTTAAAATTTAGAATACGTATGCGTATACGCATGATGATGTATGTCTGATGATACTGATAGCTGATTTTACGGTTAAGGTTATTTGCCTAGTAGGTTCAAAATTTTTTAATATCTAAAGTTGTATTGACTTAGTTATAGCTTTTCGTGACGATAATTGCTGGAATGCTGAATAATAGATAGAGTCCTAGTAGTTGCCTGGGGACCATAGCTTTTTTAAAATTAAAGTAGATTGCGTATTTTAATAAATTGAATGTTCTTTGTTTTTCATATTTCGTGATAATAAAGGCTGCTATTGCCCGTAATGCCTACATTATTCTCCAGCTAAGTAAGAGAGTTATTTTATATTTTGTCTCAAACAAACTGTTCCGGTACCTATGTATTTATAAGTCCATTTAGCATATTATCCGTCTTTAGGAGCTTCAAAGGTACGTGAGAAAGATAGCTGCCATGCTTTTCCTCCGCTTTTATCTTTCGGCCGGGCATCCCAAGTAGAATATACAATTAGGCCCCTTCATTACATCACTTCAGTAACACCTTTGATACAATAGCAGAACACAGCATTTTCAATCTTACGCTAATAATGATAGGGTGGTAAGTCTCAAATGTAGAGTCGAAAACGTTTTCGTCCGACGTTACCTGAGCTGTGTTTGTAAGGGGTAGTGTTTGATTGTGAAAGAGACGGCGGGATCTGTGTTGGCTGGTGGGCGGGTATGAATAGCTGCATTGTGTGAGGGAGACGGGGCGAGCGCGTCAAAGGCGCCGCCTGCACGGATCGCGTACGCAGCCGGACGCCGGCGGAATGCCTAATTAAGGACGCATGCGTGGACTGCGGGGTGAGACGATTGGCCCAAGGGCAAGCAAATGGCGAGCCGTAAACTTAATACGGACAAATATCATAAAAACGGTAATAGCAGATAGAATCATGCTACATCATGACGCGCATAGGCACCTTGTAAAACAAAGCCCTTAAGTATTATAAGCCTTTATTTGCTATAGTGATAGTGCCGCATTAAACAGCTCGAAGGACCAACATCGCAAATATTTGTTTTATTAATCTCAATACTATTATTCTTAAAAAAAGGTGTAGTAATCAACGCTCCTGACTTGCATTTGGGCCGAACACCAAGAGGAGATACATGCCGGAATCATAATTAAAACGTCAGATATGGCGGCGCGCGCGCAGTTCGTTCGATCGATGCCGAATGCAAATATCACGATTGTTCCGTCGCCGTATCGCTGAATGTTAATTCCCACCGCTCGACATTAATAGCATCACAGAGTCGCACTTGACATTACAATGAGTACGCCGTTATCTACGACAGCACATCGATGTGGTCGCCGATCATTATCATCGCACATTTACAATTCATGATATCGCCTCTGCCTACTTATAGTATTCAGGTGGATATTTTCCTAATCAGTCATCAAATAGGCCGCCTTTTTTTAATAGTTTAGTCCGACAAATGACTCCCCCCCCACCTGATGTTAAGTGACGGTGAAGTCCAGACGCGAAGATAGCTGATACAGCAGTTCCACCTGCCACACCAGCCATCCTCACCTTGCCGGCCTGCATGTTGCTTCTTCACGTCTCTTTTAAAGGATCCCAGGTTGTAAGAGGGAGGGAACTTTTATGCAGTTCTAAGTTTTTATCCAATGAAAATTCTAATTTGAAAAATGTATAGTGCCCGCAAATGTGAATTGTATCTTAACCTATTTAGTCATAAAAAGATAACTTGCAAATTTTCCTATTCAATTACCTATATACCTAAATAAATGCCAATAATTCTTATTATATTTACTGCGTTTAATTCGTGTAAAACAATTCGGAAACAACAACAACAAAACGCTAATCGGAAAATATGTTGAGAGCCATGCCGCTATCATTAGCGGAAAAAAAGTTGCGCAGGAGTGTGCAATTACGGCGCAACGCAGGGCTGTGCGAGGGTTGACACCACAGAATTATATTTATATATGAGGTAGACACAGACACCTATTAGCCTAAATAATAATAACATTAAAAATCAATACTTAGTAGTTGTCTTGAATTATTTGTACTGGTTCCGGGATACATACTAAAATGGAAATTTTAGTCAACGAACTATATATAATAATGATAATCACCAGACTCGAGATAATAGGGATGATGACTAATTTTTTTTCTTCGTTTATCCGGTAGATTATAGGAAAGTATAGGATACGTATTTTTTCTTTTTTCACATAATATAAACATTGCATAGATATATTGATTTGAAAAGTCGCATGACGTCACGTTTTGGTACAATTTTCACTTAAAAGTGAAGTCACGAGCCTCTACTCCGAAACTTTGTAGCGCTATAACTTTGTCATTTTTTGGTTGATTGCCCAAAGAAAAAATAGGTGTCCATTATTTTTTGATAGTCTAACTGACGACGGACTAAATAGAATTTCGTTTACTGTACCCCGTCATCACCCCTATTATACAAAAGTAAAGAAGCAACCGCTTGTGCGAAAAGCGAAAAGTGAGTTCGTTCGGTCAGAAAGTTAGTTTTTATATAGACTCGCTGAGAATTGAAACTAGATCTTCAAATATGGTGATAACATCAAGTTGCTATTGCTAACTACTGAACCACATAGTTCGTTAAACATTATTCTATATCAAACACTCTATATAGAAAAAGTTAAAATTAAGAGTCCACATAACTTACTACTAATCACCTAAGTACTATAAATAACAAAAAAATAATTTTAGTAAAAGTGGGAGATTTAATATTTTTTGAGTCGCTCGAACAAATACACCCAAAAATACGGGAAAAGTAGCAACCCTAGGTATTCCAAAGCACACACAATTATATTAATTTGCCAGGATCGGCAAAAACACCCTGCGGTGTGCGGTAGCCACAACAAAAGGAACTCGATACATAACAAATAATTTATATATAATATATACATACACAACATATACGATGACTCTTTTATACTACACTGGCTGACCCGGCGAACTTCGTACCACTCGTACAATATCATCATCAGCCTATTAATGTCCCCACTGCTGGGGCACAGTCCTTCCCTATGGATAGAATAGGGAGATTGGGTCATGACCCACCACGCGGGCAAAGTGCGGATTGGCAGGTGCTAACAACTGCAGATCCAACCGGGACCAACGGCTTAACGTGCATTCGGAAGCTTGGCGGAACTCGAGATAGAAGATTTTTGGTCACCCATCTAATGACCGACCACTGCGAAAGTTGCTTAACTTCAACGATCGCAGCCAAACGCGCTAACCACTTGCGCCATCGAGCTCCTCATGGTTCACACCGCTTACAATGGAAGGATGTCGTTACTCCTAGCTTAATTGAATTTACAGTTGTGAAACAACTTAAAAATTAAAAGTTGACTAGTTAGTTTAGTGGGATGATAATATAAGTATACAATCTCTATTATAAAGTTGGCATATCACCAAATGTGTTCCATTATGTAGTTGGTTTAGATTTCGAAGGATGATCACCACCGAGCTAAGATTCAGGCCCGTATTACAGAATGACAACTAAGTGTTGATCTTTACTTGAGTACAGTTAGAAAGGGATGTCGCTATGTGCTATATATAGCGACATCCCTTTCTAACTATGCTCAAGACTAGATCAATCACTGAAAATCTTTCCATAATACGGGCCTCAGTGTTAAATAGTGCTCCTATAGAGCATCGTCTTAGGAGACACCAGCCAGACACTTCAATGAGTTTAAAAGTCAATCCTTGGTAGTTGGTGGCTACGACTTCGTCTTTTACGCAATGAAGTATACCTCTCCGTCTCGGTCTTCTTAGCCACCTAAAATTGCTCACTCTCTTAACCGTTTTTATATTTTTGATTGATAAGAATGTTCGGGAATACTTTGTTAAAGAGCTTTTTTTTATAGGTAGGTAGGCAAATGACTCTACCCCACCTGATGTTAAGTGGTGATAAAGTCCAGAAGCGAAGATAGCTGGTACAGAAGTTACTAGAGTCTGTGCGGAAAGAGGATGGGATTTAGATTGGAGGGCGCTGTAGTGCTTTTCTAACGTATTTGTAAGGTTTTACCCCTTTTAGAGATGATTAAATACAAAAAACCGCAAGAAATCACAACAACAAACAAATCCGTATAAATACAAAACTTTGAAGTTTTACAGATTGCTGGGTTTGATTGCCAATTAAAAATCTTAATATTAGTTCCGTTTTTCGCCACGCCCATACTCTTTCCGCACAGACTCTAGCTTACTCTCAATGAGACTAAAATGCAATAATTTGGAGATGATAGACAGCAATTGC